ACACACTCTTGTGTGTTACAGCCTGCTCAGTGTTTTATAACTAAGGTGTCACTTTATTTTTAAGCTCATTTAATAAGACAAGTTGAACCAGAACAGACTCATTTGGAGCAGCATAGAAACACATACAGTACACACATGGATCACTGTGTAGAGCTATGGGCAGCTTCTGCACAACTTCTATAATTAATTAAAGTCCCACTCCAGAAACATTTTCATTTTTATATTTGTATATAAAAATACTTTACTATAAACAATATGCAGTCTAACACAGCTTTTCCTCAAAAAAATTTCAGTGGGCCTCTGTAATAGGAATGAACATTGCCCCTCATTGTGCATTCCAGGATCTATGAATGTTGCCGTCATCCCTTATGTGGATTTGAATAATTTTGCACGCCCAATTTTTCAGTTTTTTATTTGTTAAAAAAGTTTGAAATATCCAATAAATTTCGTTCCACTTCATGATTGTGTCCCACTTGTTGTTGATTCTACACAAAAAATTACAGTTTTATATCTTTATGTTTGAAGCCTGAAATGAGGCAAAAGGTCGCAAAGTTCAAGGGGGCCGAATACTTTCGCAAGGCACTGTATATTTACAGGTATTGCAACTGAGGGTTATTGTCCAGTCATACTGTCGTTGGTTAAGTGTTCATCAGAGTGATGGCCCCGGGGGAAGAAATTGTCCCTGTGCCTGGTTGTTCTTGAGAACATTTTCCAGATTTTACTCTTCTGTGGTTGTGTGATGGTGATCGGCGTCATTTAGGTGAGGCGGCAGAGTTTTACTTTCATCCATTTGGGGAGAGTCTGTCACCGTGAAATGTACATCTTCTCAAAGCATCAACTAATACTCACTTTATTATTAAGATCCAGAATGTTTAAAAAGGGTTTCTTTGACATCATCAAGCAGACAATATACTATGTTTATGAAATTTCTATTTCTGTGATGGAACTAATATTCGTCTGTTATGGGGGAGTCAGGAATGTATGTGTGTGACACCGTGATTTGTGATGGCGGACAGAGTTACAATTAAGTTCGAGAGAAGCAGTTTAAATTGCGTTCCTGAACACTATTGTTAAGGAAGGTTGGAGTAGGTGAAGACGCCAGGAGTTTCCGATTGGCCCGCTGTTTTAATACGGTCAGTGAGGTATGCAAAGTTATGTTTGTTTTTACGTTGTACTGTAGCGATATGCTAACAGCTAATGTGCTAACGGCTACAAGAGTGCAGCGTGATAGTTTCTCTTATTTCTCGGTGAATGTAATAATAGTTATGTCAATCAACTTGGTTCTTGCTCTTTGTGAGAATGGTATGCATTTTAAGACAATTTTATGATTTATTTTAATATATGTAGTTCTCACGGCACGTTTGGTTATGCAATAAGTGCCTGGAACTGGAAGAACAGCTCGTGTCCGTCTTTGAACTGAGTGCGAGTTACACAGCTGTTTAATGACGGCAATCTAGTTACAGTACTAACGAACGGTATCCGGCATTTTAATGCCATAAACACGTTGTATTAAGAAACGTTATTACCAGAGGAGTTTGCTTTTTCAGTGCCCGTGTTTTTTTGTTTTTTTTTTTTATTATGTACGTTTGAACGTCATGTGTGATTTTTCAGCATCTTTCCAGCCGTTTTAATGATGTGTTGTGTTTTGTAGGAAAGGTTCTGGTGTGTGTTTGTTGTTTTACCTACATTCATCTCCGTGTCTGTGGTTTAGCTCTGTTGGGAGGTGAGAGATATCCTATTTTGCTGTCCACTCTTGTCTTTTTTCATACTACCACTGGAGTAGTTTGTTAGGTATTTTTAGTCAGATAGACATTAGTTAGACACTTCATGTATTAGAAATGTTTAGTGTACACAGGATGTCTAGCTCAGGCTGTTAAATGCTTAGTCATTCCCATGGGGTACTCCAGGTTGTTCAGGTTCAAGGATAACTAGATAGAAAGTTGATTACTGTTAGGAGACAGAATGTTTATTATTATTATTATGTGTTTAATCATAATCGTAATCATAATATTTTCTTATGCTTAATGTCATGACATCTCACTAGATGTCATGTCAGAATGTCTTAGATACACACCACACAATCAACAGACAATCACACATTGATTTTCTTCATGCTTTGACTACTGCTATGGTCAGCTGCACAGCTGGCACCGGGAGACGTCACGGTTTGGCGTCCCTGAGTAGTATGGGGTTAGCCCGAAGTGATATAATGTATAGGCCTGTTGTGGTTCGGTGGCTTTTTCCCATCTTCCGGCTGCCTGCGTGCATGTTGGAGGTGCAATATACCTGAGCGTGTAATGTTAATTTTAGCTGTGATCATTGAATAAATCAGCATTGTTTTGAAGTTACTTGGACTGCCTCGTCTCTCAGAGTTAACGTGATGAAAAGAACGGGGGCCAACAAGTTGGTCACACGTCTCTGTCATCACATGAAAATCTTTTCTGCATGTGCAGGCTGGGCGATGACATCAAAACATCATAGTGACTATTGTTACTGTAAAATGTGTTTCATGCATGACATTTTTGAGCGTTATCTAAACAATACTGCAGGTTAGTGTGCGGGTATTAGAACACTGTGGTGTAATATATACACGTTTGAAGAGTGTGATGGTTTTTAAGACACAGTGCAGCTTTAAGACACCAGACTATCGGTTTTGTATACAACTACTTTAGTGCTACACATTAATTAGGATATTCAGTTTGATGGTAGTTTTGTTGTTTGTTTTTTTTGGGCCTTTATTATCTTTTCTATTTTTTTCATCATCAGAGAATAAAATGAATATGTACATTTACAATGTTACATATTGAAATAATTTGGAAGTCAAAGTTTTCATTTTTGGCATGTAAGAAGCAAGAGTGTTGCCTAATGAAACTACACATATGAATCACCACTCTTGTATAAAATGAATAATAATTTTGGAAAGCTATTCGTTCCCATCAGAGCATTAGAAGTGTCTTGGAAGTCAGCAGCAGGCATCCAGCTGTGCTACCTTGATTTGGCCACTTGGTGGAGCCACATGTTATTTTAAGCCCAATTCAGAAAACTTAGCAGCAGCAAGGATTTCAACCCCACACAGCCTTTTATGTTGTCCCTTCATATGTTTCTGAATAACCAGAAATGAAATCCTGTAAGAGAAACTTTGTGCTGATGTTTTTTAACAGGGAATTTGTAAAATGCTAGTTTCACTGGCTGTCTTTGTTTTAAAAGGATTTCATCAATGTTGAATTCTGCCTGTGTAGCACTTTGTTATAATTTATATATGGTTTTTATTATGGAAGATTGAGATGGCAGAGCCTTGTCTTCATTAGTTTCCTTTTTGTGATTTATGTTCAACAGAAGCAAAGTCCAGGTTTTTGATTCACTTTCCAGACTGTTTTAAATCCCACCTCACTGGCAAATTGTTTTTTTTTTCTTCTCCTATGCAGGTGGTTCCTGGTTTGTGTAAACTGCCACAGAGCTGTTGATGTGTGGAGCTTTACTTCAAAAAAACCAGAAACATCTGCTATGCAACAGGTGAGTCCACTTCTCTTTGCATGAATTTACTACTTCAGTATCGTTTCTGCTGCAGTTGCATAAAAGCAAAATAATTTTCCAACAAACTGAATGTGACATATGCCATTCAGAGGCAGGGCAGTTTGATTTTTAAGATGCCGAATGCTGCTCTTCCTGGTAGTTAAAACACACAGTTTCTATTTAAAAGGTCGACGTGTCAAACTGTGTAATTCATGTGATTTACAGGTGATGATGCTCTGCTCTTAAGTATCAGTTTAAAAATTGCCACCACAGAATCCCCTAAGTATCAGTTTATACTTAGGGGATTCTGTGGTGGCAATTTTTTCCACAACAGATTCATATGGAAGTACATATCTGCTAAAATATTGGAGTGTGCACACACCACATTTCAAGTGTGTATTGATTAACAACAATATTCTTAATTTTAATATTATTGTTTTTCTTTAGTATGATTTAAGGTTCTTGCTATTTTGGCTGTTTGTATTAAATAACTGCCACTTGTTATAATTGTCTTTGTAGGTGTAACTACTGGTTATGTAAATCTGTTTTGTTTTGTTTTTTAAACAAAAAATTGAGCTGAATAAGATTTGGTCTGGGTCAAAACATTCAGGTTTAATGGCGTTACTGTTCAGGTGCTGCAGGAAAAGGTGGCTTAAGTTTCACTTTATAGTTAGAAAAAGTAAAACTGGACTTTATTTTAAGCAACAAATATATCTTTGACACTGAGGTGCATGACATGAGCAAGAATGGAGAAGACGAGGTCCCGACCACAACTGGCAGATCTAGCGTCTCGATCGCTGGGAGGACAGCGCAGCTTCTGCAGGTACACACACTGTCATGTCTTTCTATAGCTGCACTTAGCCCCTTCAAGTGGGTGGGTGAGCTTTAATTTATGATTCATGATTTAACATGTGAATTTATAATGCATTGAGATGGTCTTAACGTTTGACCTGTGTAAAAATTGTAGGATTAGATAGTTTACATTAAATGAGGTTAAGTCTAAAGGCCTTTTTTTTTTTTTTTTTTAAACACAAATTGCTTCACTTGGGTCATGTGACCACCCCTAAAAGCTACTGTAGTAACTGGGCCTGTGAGCTTACATAAACCTTTAACGGGTCGACAATTAAATGGAAAAACCATTTGACAAACCTGGAGTCACTTGATAATTTTAAACATTTTATTAACTCTTTTAAACACAACTAAATAATTTACAAACAGTTCCATAAACTATTCAATTGTAACAGTCCAAATACAAACGGATGAACAAAGAGGGAAAAACTCAACATATAGTTTTACACATTAAGCCACAACACTGACAGGAGAGCAGTCAAACATTTAACTTCACACTGAGCTAGTACCTTAGAAAATGTCTCATTAATTGTATAAAATAAGCCAATACATAAGCTTGTACCTAGTACAAAATTAAATAAAATAGCAAAGTATAGACATGTAGACATAATGTGACTGCAGTTTATAAATAAAACATGAAAGTATTTTTACTAATGAAAAACAACAAGAAAGTGTCGGCCATTCTACAACAAACATTTACTTCTTTAAATTTCAGCCAGTGCATCTTTTTCTTACATGTCACAATAATGAAGCCAGAGATACAAAAGGAAGAATAGGAAACAAAAACTACAGACAGCTGCTAGCTTAATGACAAACAGTGTTGCAGGTTAAAGTTTAATTTCTCCGTACAGAGAATGCTGGCTTGTGGAACCAGAGTTTGTTGCGTTAGCCAACCAGCAGCTAACTTTGTAGCTTCAGTTAACCTGGTTGGGGAACAAAGCCCCAGTGACGCCGTTAATGCTCACGATAAAGCACCTCCCTTGGCTTTTACTATGTTTGTAGCTTTTCCTTTTTTAGAAAAAAAGGACAAAGTCTTAGAGATGAAGAAAAATCGCTGTCCTGAAATATACAGCACAAAGAGCAAGAGGGCAAGGAAAAGCAGAGCTCAGTAGAAAGCTGAAGCTCGGGGGGACGCAAAAGGTCCTCGCCAGCCAAAGCACAGATTGTCGTTTCCCTTCCAACACAGGGATACTTGGTTTGGACAAAGCAACACTGACAGGCGCAGCTCACTCGTCAGGGGTTTGTCTTGCTTCTGGTTTCTTCAGCACAGCCGTTTAGACCCTGCTTAGCAGAGTAGATCTGGAGAGGGAAGAGAGAAGTGTGTGTTAGGTCCAGGCTTTTCTGTTGTTCACAGAATTAGAGTAAACATACCTCTACCAAAGTTACACAATCTGAGCGTTGAAATGTGCCATATTTAGAATTGTTTCTAATATTACAAGCTAATAAAAAAGCTGGGTGCAGTTTTAAAAAATTGAGCACTCCAAATTTCAATGCAACTTACTAAAACTTAGTTTTGAGTCCAACTTACTACAAACAAAAATGTAAAGTTTCTGGATTTGAATACTTTTATTTACAGTGCACCCACTATTAAAAATCTTGACTGACAGGACAAGAACCTTTCCCCTACAACCAGGAACCAGGTCATTTAAAAAAAAATGGGAAAAGGTAACTGTTAAAATTGTGAATCGAGTGTCACAGCTACAGTTTGTTTTTAGTAGATTCTGAAAGGCAACGTGTGTAGAGAGGCGGTCTGTCCCCGGCTGAGTCGCTCCGAGCCCAGCAGCACGTTCTGCTGACGCAGCTCGGCTTGAATAAAATAACAGACCGTGTCACAGCGGAGGCAAAGCTCAGGGGGAGCAGAGAGGGTTGGCAGTTGACCAGGAAAAGTGACTGCGTGTACACACAGAGCTGAGTGGATTCACCATGGCTGGGCTTAACCCAACCCCCTAAGGCTCTGGATCCAAAACTTGCCCTCACCTCTGACGTCTGCCAGTGGATCTGATTCACAGATCTGCACGTGGGTGGCTGGATGTGTAGGGGTGCTCTATAGCAACCTGCTTTGAATCACGCGTTAACTGCCCCTGAACACGTACACAGCAGTCAGATTTTTTCCAGTTTTACATGTTTATAGGTTCTATAAGTGAAACTGAGGAGATACTAGATGAGGTTAAAGCAATTACAGGCAACTTTGTCCATAAATTTGTTATCTATGTAGGTTAAAGAGTATTTTTCATAAAATACTTTTTTTGTGTGTCTTCTAGGGAGCCAAAGAATTATACAACAAACTGTCACCTGACTCAAGTAAGTACTGTACCTTTGTATGCTAATAGGTTGGGAAACAATCCAAGCACATAGTGTAGTGGTTGTTTTTTTTTTAAAATATAAACTTCAGCTTTGTTTTGTACAGAAGTGCACTGTATTCACCAAAGAAAATAAAATTTGGAGGATCTTTTCTCATAATTATGAGATAATGCAGGGGCTTGAACGCTGCAGAACTTGCCTGAAGATAATCAGGTTTTAACTAATTCTTTAGTGTCAGCATAATTTGCTAGTTGTCAGTACAGCCAATAGTGCATAGCAAAAGTGAATGGTTAATAGTTATTTCTGCTTATCTAGTGTTCCAAATCCCAAACAAATACAGAGTACACACGGGCTTCAGAGTTGCTACCTGCAGTGTAACTCACTAGATCCATGTACTGAGCAGCTTCAGAACCTGCTTGGAAACACTGGGTTTTTAATATTTCAGCAGCAGGATGGTTACATAACTCTGACAGCACATCCAGCAGCAGGTAGCAGAAAGAGTGCTGATGGCTAATCCACCGTACTTAGTGCTCCAAAAGGTAAACAAATATAGCCTAAAACTGGCGCCCACATTGTAACACACACTGTCCATGGCAACGTTACGTAGCCTCTACTCCCTGTTACTTGTCAAAGTTTATATCTGTTCACAGGAGTGATGATGATTAACACTTATTGTTTAATGCTTCGTCATCATTAGGAGAGGTGGAGATCAGGACCTTGTAACGGGCCGGGTTATGGCCGATGTTTAGGCCACCTGATGTGTCTACATCCTGTAGGCCATCAGACCAGCTATGTAATGGATTTGAGCTCAAGTACCAGTTAAATTTTGTTGTGTAGTATTTTGGAAAATGTTTCATTAAACGTTAAAGGTTCAGTCACGTGAACAGATCGTACTTTTACACCAAACAGCCAGAATGTTGCCATAGATACGAGTTACTGTGGGCTGCAGCTTGGGCGCCATTTTAGCCTGTATTTGTTTGCGTATTAGAACACTAAGTATGCAGAATTAACTATTCATTTTTGCTATGTGCTATCGTATGTGCTGACAGAATTACATTAAACTTTTAAAAACCCAAATGTTTGTTAAGCAGGTTCTGAAGCTTTCCAACTCCTGCTCAGTACCTGTAGTAAGTTACACTGCAGGCAAGAGAAAAGGGTCTTTTAATTATGAGAAAACAAGTCAGTTACAACATAAGATCCTCCAAGGTTTTTTTTTTTTCTTCTCTTTGGTGAAATGCAGTGTGCGTCTGTACATTTGTGGCCTTCCTGAGACACTAGGGGTGTGTATCTCTTCATGGTCCACGATTAGATACAAAAACAATACGACAGTGTGCGTTTCAGAATCATTGACTTGATTCAGCAGATATTCAATTTTAATTTAGCTTTGCTTAGATTACACATATGGTTTTACTGTCTAAAACGTGTTTCCTCATTTTTATCAGTTTATCTTTACATCCCCGTGAGATGCACAAATCTGTTGTTTCGCAGTGATGTACACTCACCGGCCACTTTATTAGGTACACCTGTACAGTTCATTGAAACACTTCCACCTTAATATCAGTGTTTATGGAGCTCGAAATGTTGCAGTTTTTGGTGAAGCTGTCAATGTATAAATTCAGTTATGTTTATTATTGGGGTCATAAGTTAAGGTGTTGTTGTACTGGACTACATTATATTTAGATGTATTCCTAATATTCTGACCCTCTCATGAATGTAGCTGGGAGGACAAAAATATAGACATCTCTAAATATAATGTAGTACAACGCCACCTTTAACTATGACCTCAGTAATAAACATAGAATTGAATTCATACATTTGACAATTTCACCAAAAACTGAAACAGTTTGTTTCATAAACAGACGTTAAGGTTAAGTGTTATACTGAAGTGCATACAGTTGAACAGGTGTGCCTAATAAAGTGGCTAGTGAATGTATAGCCATCCACCTGAGCTGGGTGAGCTATTTTGTCAGTGTGGACAAATTCACTGTCCCCGATTCAGTTGGCATCAATTAAACTGCAGTGAGGAAGAGTGCAAGAAGAAAGTCTTCCTCCGTCAGCTCTCTGGGGCTTTATTCAGCGAGTCAGAGCCGCTGAACAAAGACAACATCCATCCTCAGTGCTGTGTGAAATGACTGATGTCTTTTCATGTCTCTACACAAGGGACTAATAAGAATGATGAGCGCCCGTGTGTGCGCATGTTTGATGCTGACCTGACCGCAATTCCGTAAATGCATTAGTCTGAACTACATCCCCTCTGGGTCTGCCTGGTCAGCGGGGAGGCAGGAGGGGATGTGGGGTGACAGCTGTGATGCATGTCTGTGTGAGACATGGAGGACCGTACCCACCTCAGAGACTTCCATCTGTCCTTTTCCATGTGGTTCTCAGGGCCTTCGCTCTCGTATGATGCTAGATACAATGCTGCAGTGAGAAAAATGAAGGAAACCTTAGCTTTTTCTTGACAAATGTTTTTTTAAAGAGACAAAAACATGTACCCTCACATTTCATGATGCAGATGACCGACCATTTTAGTTCTTTTCCTTCATTTTTAACCCATCACATTTGTGCTTTCTATATTAACTAGTAACATAAGACAAACATTACAAGAACGACTAATGCTCCAGCAGATTTAAGCTTTTTTGGAACCTAAAAGCAGTTTAAAATGCTCCTGAGCTTTCCTCTGGGTTTACTAATGTTGCTACTACAGTGTTCTGTTGTTGGCCTGATTTACATATTCTAACTTAAGATTAAAAAAAATTGTCAATTTGTTGCATGTTTAGAAAAGTTCTATCTCCATTTAAGGCTTCATCATGTAAACTCTGTTCTGGCCTTAAATATGTGCACAGGTTGGCTGACAGGAGGATGTTCACTATCACCCAACACTGTCGCCCAAGGATGATAACGCCGACTGTAGAAGAACAGGGGATGATGATAAGAAGCGCTTGCAGCTGATTGGCCAGGCCTTACGGACCACTCTGTCTCTGATAAGAGCCAGCGACGTGACTTTGATGTGGAAGAACGGAGATGGAAACTCAGCACTGCTCAAGCAGGACGAGTGATAACGGGCTGTGTGTATATTTAAGGCTTATTCTGGATACAGTGCTTCACTGTTTTCTCTGCTGGTTGAACCGTAACTATTATTGACAGCAGTCACGTGCATTTGATGTTGCAGGGTGTAAAGTAACATGATTTCTTAAGTCTGGATCTGTTTTCACAGTAAATTAAGACATGATCAAGCTGAAAAAACATAGAAAAAAAAAATCATCTGGACGTGGTTTAAGGTAGATGAGGTTTCACCTCTCATCCAAGAGGCTTCATCAGTTCTGTCCAACCGGTGTTGAGCAGGAGGTATTTATCCCTGTGTTTCAGTCCTTCGATAGCCAACAATGTGAGGGTTCAAAGACAGGTAACGACGTTCACCAATACCGGACTATAAAAACTCAGTTGTTAGAGGACATTGTTGGCCTAAAACCACGTCCAAATGATTTTTTTTTTCCCTACGTTTTTTCAGTGTACTATGACCTGGATGACTGACAATTTGCATGGACAAGACATGATCAAGGAATTGGTTACAATACTAAAATAAAATTTGATCTTTGACTAATCAGAAATCTTAGTTTTGTTTACTGATTACACAAAGCTACTATGTTAATGTTTTTTTCTGTTTATTATAGAGCTTTAATCTTAAAGGAACTGTTTGACATTTTGGGAAATACAGCATTTACTTTCTTACCAAGTACATATGAAACTAGCCTGGCTCTGTCCAAAAGTAAAAAAGTTTAACATGACTCACTGAGCTGCAGTGATGCTGGTAGGTATATTGTTACCTTTGGAAAGAGTCATGCTAACAGTTTCTGCCTTGCGTCCTGTCTTTATAGTAAGCTAGGCTCACCGGCTGCAGCTTCGTATTTAGCATATAAACACAGTATCTGAACATCAAGCAAGTGTATTTTCTAAAATGTAAAGTCTTTGGTTGTGATCTTGCCCATTCAATAACAAACTCACCGTCCTCAGTGAAGACTGGAGCAGTCAGCAGGTACTGCAGGATCTTGCGATCTTTCTCAAATGGACACTCCACTTTCTTCCACGTCATGAATTCGCTCACTTGTTTGGCAAGTTCCCAGAATTTCTGGAATAAGACAAATAATATGGGTTCATATTCAGAGGGAATCAGCTTGTTTAAGGGCCTACACTGCATAATATATACACTTTTGTTTTTAAAGGGACATTGCATATTGGCCAGCATCACTGTAAATGTGCCAGTGTTGGCCATAAGACCAAGTTTGAGCCATTGTCCTCATGGGACAATTAAACAGGATGGTGTCTTTCCCTGGCTGCAGGCTACAAATAAACATGGTAAAATCTATAGTCCCAAACTGTCTTTGAGCCAGGTGTATGATAAGTTCCAGTGGGGCTGCCCAGTGACCAGAGCAGTACACCGAGGCCCTAGTCAGCAGTTCTCAAGTGTCAGTCTGTACGTGTGTAGGAAATGGGGCCGGGCAGAAAAAAGGGTTCCCAGGTTAGAACTGATGCTTAAAATAGTATCTGACTCAGTGGAGCTGTGACCAAAGACCAGTGGAAATACATGAATCTGTGGTCACTGCTCTCTGTATTTGTTCCATGGAAACTGCTGCATTTTACTCACTTCTTCATTCTGTAACACTCTTTAAGGGAGTGGAAATAAATAGCACCAGATCCGTTGCCACATGTAGTAAATACAGTGATGTTTTGAGGAATGAGAAGTCAGCTGCTGGGGAAACTCCGTCTGGGGATTGTAAAATTATGTTTACCTCAAAGTTGATGTGTCCGTTCTGCAGCCTGTTGGCACAACCCTCGTTGAGGAAGTAGATGTCTTTAATGAGCAGGCTGAAGAAAGGGATGACAATCTGCAAGACAGCAGAAAGAGAATGCGGATTGAACATTGAATCCAAAAGAATACAAATGACTGTGCATTATTATTTCTAGGCAAAAAAAAACAAAAAACAAAAACAAAATCAGACCAATATCTTCTGCTTTAACTCTCCAATTCTTATAGATATGTGGCAGCATATAAATACAGCCTTTGCTAACCTAAAAAAAATTCACAGGTGAATTCTTCAGACCAAAAATGGAAACAAGACTGGGGGAAAAAAAAAAGAGGACATTCTCCAGAGAAGAATTCCCCTTTAAAGGCCTTTAAATAATTAACTGCCAACCTCCTAAATGTTTCAGGTCACTGCATGTCTGGGTGTTAGCACATTTGTTGACCAGGACCAGGCTGGGGAGAGAACTGACCATTAACACTTCACCCTGCCTGGCTAAATCAGTCACTGTGATTGAGAAACACACAGAATGTCAAGACATGCTATAATCTGGCACAGTGACCTCTAATTTAAAAAAAAAAAAAAGGTCTGTCACCACTTTGCTGCGCATCTCAGCACAGCCTCACCTGGGGTCATCAATCATTCATGGCAGTGGAGCGTCTTAAGGGAAAAGCAGTAGACTGAGCTACTTTGCTTTCTCCATATTATTTTGACTTGGACTCCATCAGAGGCTGCACCCACTCCCCTTGTTCAAGCTTTTAGTTCTCTCCACAAAAGCTGTTTTGCCAAAGCAGTGAAAACTGTGATTTTTCTTTAACTCTGTTCTTGGCCAACTTCTATTGTAAGCTTGTGAAATCCTGCCTCCGCAACACGTTTCCTCATCGGGTGCAGCTGACAACCAGTTAAACCCACTTCCAGCTTCTCAGATGTGAACATTTGCTGCTGTCCATGATAGAAAAGTCAGTATCTTCAGGTTTCACACTGTTGTTTTGGCCAATCGAGCAAATCAGCAAGAAATCAACTTTGACCCAACTTAGTGCAAGTGTAAGGAGAATTTAATCACAATTTTGACATTTCATAGACCACATGATTAATTAAGAAAAGAATCAGTAGATTATATCTTATGATCAACATTTCAATCTCTTTAAATATATATTTTTTTTTTATTCTTGTTGCGGTCCATCAGTTTGGTTTTTTTTTTATTATTCTCTGCAATGATATTTTATTCCGATTACAATCTTTGTCTCTTACCCCGTTAGCTTTCCTTACATAAACCACCTTATAGTTGCTAGTTTTGATAAACCACACATGATCATGAATCGACCTGCTGCCTTGGGCCTCTGTCAGACGGAGAACTCTTCCTTCTGAAAGTCTGAACCAGTACTAGAAGCAGATCATGTGATCATATTTTCTGGATTACTCTTCAAAATGTCTTGTTGAGCTGTTCCTGCACAAACATGCCAGTCACCAAATAAAGAACAAAAATGCAGCAAACCAGAAGCAAAGTGAAGCACACATGTTGCTCTGTTGACCCTCCGACAACGTCAACAGCACAGTGAGTGCCTGGAGGAGATCATAAACAATCTCCCACTCCTCCCTAAAAGGACAGGTCACAAGAACATAGACTTCTTGGGAACTTTCTGTTTCGTGGCACTGACCTCGTGTGTATGCATATCTGAGCTCTAAAGAAGCATCCCCTGACAACCCTTAGGGAGCCAGATGTATATTGACAGTTCACTCTGATGCCATAACAAACAAATTCAACATGTAATGACATGGGGAGAGGCCAACCACCAACGCTGGTTCAAACTCAGCCAGGGTGGGTGACTCAAGCAGCAGAGAACACTATGTGATCTGGCAGGCTGCCATGTTTTACGTTTCCTCCACAGCCTGATTGTGGAGGAGGAAGCAGAGACTCTCCTAATGTCCCGACCCATTTATAACTCGACCTCCGTGTCCCCTCTGAGCTACACTGTTACACAACCTCTGTCCCTGCTCCAAGTCTACCCGAATGGAGTAAATATGATGGGAACTCTGCTTCCAGACGATAACAGGACACAACAAGCGGCGACACTGTTTGTTTTTCTGCTTTACTCCACCACCAGCCATTTTCATCAAATTGAACTCTGTAGAACATGAAGATAAAGGCGGTGGGATAACATCTCCATCTTTTAGATAACTGTGACAAGCTCTAAGTTTCTACAGCCTCAACACTTTGTTCAGGGAGGTCTAGTGGTCAGAGCATTTATTCTGAAAGTCAAAGGTCACAACAGCTGTCAAGTGATTCTTCATGATAAGTGGCTCTGGGTAAAGTTTCAGTCAAAGGTATGAAACCACAGTCTGAGTGCAGATGTGCAAACCTTCTATAAACTGGGGTAAAAGAAATGTTTTGTGGCCAATTAGATATTAACCAACATGATCAGACTCAGATTGGCTTGACCTCCCAGTGGTCATGGTTTTGCTAGAATTTCAACCTTTACTTAATAAACTGCACTTCAAAAGTCAGCACTCCTCAGTTCTGCCCAGTACGCTGCGTTCACATGGAGCTGAAGTACAGCTGAGCCAAATGAAAGCAATAACCACAAGTGTCATCCAGTGTGTGCTGCTGTGCGGAGGACCCACCTTCTCTCTGCTGCTGTTGGCGGTGATCGACCTCTGTGTGGCACCTCGCAGTGCTGTTCTGTAGTTGTAGAAGTTGCTGGAAGGATCCATTTGGTGCTGTGAAGAGAAAACATGCACAGGGTCAGATGAGAACAAGCTAACCTCTGACCAGAATTCAAGAAACACAGGTCAGTGGATTTGAGAGGCCAATATATATTTAAGATGATTACACATAATGCATGACCTTCAACAAACAGGCAAAGGAACTCCACACTACCATCAGAGCATGTTACACCTCAGTGGGGGAGAAAATGCAGGATTCAGTAAAGCACATAGGGACAAGAGAGCACAATGAAAAGAAATCATCAAAAGACAGTGAGGCAGTGGGGAGGTGTGTGACTGACAGGAGGAGGATGGAGGTGAGCTGTGATGAGACATGAAGGGAACCTAAAGAACTGCATCTTTGAAAGCCTCTAGATCCCACAGAGCCTGAACCGTGTCCCGCTCAGAAGGACCCACTGATCGCCTCTGCAGTATCTGGAGGTTCCTCTGGTATCGATGGGAGGGGGGCAGGGTTGCATGTGATTTGAATCGCAGTGAACTAGCCTTTCAGGTCACTGTCTGTTCACATGTCCCCTTTTTAAACTGTTGAATCTTAATAAGAAGTAAAACAGTTTGTGTGGGAAATGTGTTTTACAGCAGGGATTTAAATCCAGACCTCTGGCTGGCAACACATACAGTACATATGTTCTAATTGTTTCTGTCCATCTATGTGAAATCTGTGAGTCACAGCAAACTCCTGCTCATCCACTCAGATCCATTTTCATAAGAGCTTTCAGCACGACTGTGCTTATCGGTCAATGTCATTACACTTAACCCAACAGTTCATTAACAAAGAAGAAGCTCCCCCACAACAGGGTTCGTCATCAGTGCTGCGCACAACAAAACCACAGTTGCTAATTTTTGCCGCACAGGAAAACCACTAACTGCCACGAGTTAGAGGCAGGTGATAAAAACACTGGAGCAAATGATATAAAAATGTTCAAAACTGCAGGTTTTATATAGCAAAAGGTTTCTCTTAGCAGATGTTGACCCATGAATGCTGAATATCACTTCTTCATTTTCAGACTCGTCTTTTGACACAAAACTGCTTCCACATTAAATGAATTTTTATATCACAGCTGCAGCATTCAACACAAACATGCAAACTTACTTCTAAAATGTCGAACTTGGCCGTCTTGACTTTACTCCAGGTCTTCTTCAGCCGAGACACAGGGCTCATGTTCATCCCAGCTGCAAGGCAGACACACAAAAAGACAGAGAGATCACACATCCAAGTAAACAGCCAAACATGATCATGTTAACACATGGCATTTTCCCCATTCAGCCAGACAGACCCACACCCTCCCCTCCACCTTTCCTCCCATGGCAGTGATCCTTTAACATACCCTCTCCCCTCTCTCCCTTTCTTTTGATGCAGCAGGAACAATGGAGTTAACACACCCGGCCTCCCCTCCCAGCACCCTGCTCCTCATATGGTAATCCTCTGTGTGTGCGTGCTGTCGGTTTACACACTGAGGGGTCACCATCAGAGCAGAACAACAACACACAACAACCCGAGTAAACAAACAAACAAAAAAAAAGCGTTATTTTTATCCACAGACATCAGAAAAACAGCACTGACTGCTAAACCCCGTCCTCTGCCTGGGCTCGCTCCTCCACAGACAGCTTGGGTTGTCGCTTAAATGCTGCAGGGCCAAACGAATGCACGTCGAAACACGGCGGTATGTCGCCCGGTGTGTCAGAACGTGTCATGCCTAGGAAATGGCTCCATCCACTCAAAGACACCAGTGTGTGTAAGGACAGGTGTTGGCTGGACTAGTGGTCCCTTAGGGACACACCCCCCCTCTCTCTGAGAACATTATTACAGTACACAGCCAATGTTTTCTCTTTCCAGCACTGACACCGTCACTGAAGCCAAACAAAGACACTGTCAAAGTGTTTGAAAATATAAACCGGAAAGACACCAAAGCGCCAAACACATTCCCTCGTAGTGGAATCTAGCCACACATGCAGTTTTTGACATGCATTAAGTCAAGCAGGCCCAGATCATATCAGGCCTAATGTACAACAAGCACTTCTTCGGGTGTCGGTACAGTATGTGTAACGCCTGCATCCACACTGGCTAAAATATAAGCTCTACTCATGTGGGACATCACAAATGACTGTGTGAGAAAAGTGGCTTTCCTGAGAAAGTGCAGTTTGTCAACTATGATTCTGAGGCGGTTTCAGCAGAAGTGCAACATGGAAGCTGCAAACAAGATCATTTCCTCACCTTCTTACAAAATGCACCAAACACAAACGGCTCCATGCTTGAGCCCTGCAGCACGTTTAAGCAATGCTTGGAAACCACTTTGTCTTCTACTTTGGAACTACTCCTGCTTGGTGGTGGTGTGTTCTCCCCCTGTTTGGGTCTGAAGGGAGTCTAATTTTGTTTCCTGACTCCTACTGTCCTTGGGTCAGCTCAGAGGGCAAAACTCTCAAAATCTATGAAAATAAAACCAAACCATCTGCCCTGCTTGACACAGCTAAAGAATAGCTAGCTTTTGTAATTTGGGTGAACTAACCCTTTAATAGCATCCCTAACAGACTGTGCAACTCTGGCATTCCCTGGAGAGGAGGCTGCTGAGGAAGGATTTGCCTGTGGCACTCTCTCTCTCTCTCTCTCTCTCTCTCTCTCTCTCAGGGGAGGACAGAGGACAGCTGGCACTCCAGTATCCACCACCTTGCTTGCTCCTGTCCCTCTCTCTGCCTCCCTCCTCCCTCGTGTGTGCTCACGCTCCGTGGTCAGTGGTGACCATCTGCCTGGATGGTATGTTCTGTGTCCTCCTCCAGCTGCCTTGCCACCCTCTCTGCTTGGGACACACAGAACCCCCCTCCCCCCATCCCGACCAGATCTCCTTTAAACACTCACATCTCTGGGATTCCCAGAACCCATCAACTGAACCGCCAGCAAGGTCTCGAAACTGGCTGAGGTGCTCTACATCTCTATGTGTGACATCTAACCTTTACTGCAGCTCAGTAGCGTTGCCTAGACCAAGGCCATCTTTTTCTTTTTTAACAAAAATATTTATACACATTCACACCTGGAAGTTGCTTAACACAACTAATAGGTGGCCACTGAGCACAAATACCACGAAGCGTTTCCCCCTCTGAGTAAATTCTATCAAGACAATTATCTGCGTGAACTGCTGCTCCATTCCCTCTGCGGCCGAGCTTCACTGATGTCAGACTGAAGTGAATTACGTACAATAAGGTGGAAATGAACTGAGCCAAAGTCATGAGAAGCTACTGTAAATGTGTCTCTGCATGAAAGTCTCACTGAGAAACAAATTTAATTTATTACACTGGGTTTTCTGTTACTGAAAGAAAAAGACTTCTGTGCAGGAATGTGGACAGCAGAGCACAAGTGCAGACTTACAGATCACTGACGTTTCAGAAGACTTGAACACAAACAGACTTTTGGTGGCTACCTTTCTGCCCCAAACATAATATATCTGAGAAGAATCCCTCCAGGATAGAAGACATGCTTCTGTTTGACAACACAACAGCATGTTTTCCCAGTGGGAAGGAAACAGAGCAACAACTCACAGATGATGGCCATGAGGGAGTTGAAGTTGCCGATGTTGAAGCATTCGCGCGCCACGTCGATGAAGAACTCAATGACTCGAGCTCGGTGCTTCTTCTTCACAGACTGTTAACAACATGGAGGAGCAAACTGCATTAGCCCTCAGGATTTAATACAGAGTGTATCATCACTATCGGGGAAGAGGGTTTTCTATTTTGACAGCATGACTGATTTCTGTTTATTTGGGTGATCACTGAGCAGTTACCGTGACTGTATTGATGTACATTACATCTACCACTACATGACCAAGCCCACAGTCTAGGCTCATTGCTGCTTTGATACCCTTTAGGTGCTGAAACAGCTTGATGATCCATCAATACGTCACTTTTGTTTTTTTTAACATTCTCTCGCTCCAACTTCTCTAATTTGAAGGTTTGCAGCTTCTCTCGGTTTTATGTGGTTGTAAATTGAATACATTTGGGCCTGGAACAAAGTGGGCTCTCTGAATGCCATCTGGAACTCTGGGAAATGCAGTTTTCCCCACTTTAAGTGAAAAAATAATTTACATTCTTTGATGGCTAAAGTAATCTGTACGTGCAGCCCAGTGGTGCACCTGGCTTCAGGATCATTACTCACCATGCAGATTTCTGTGGCCACCAGATAACTGAGTCTGTTGAACCACTCCACATAAGCTTCCAGGTTGCTGGCCTTCTTGTGATCACTGAAGCATCTCTGCAACAACAGCAGAATTTTAATTAGCATTTAAAGCCAATTTCAAACATGAAGCTGAATATAGCTTTCCCCCTGTTCTCCAAGTCAAACTCAAACACTCAGCTTCTATAAGCTCAATAGTGGCCAATGTTATTCACATCATGCACGCCGGCCCTTTGTGTGGATCCCTCTTGATCCAACACCACACATTCCTTTGGCCTTACGCCACTCACCCCCATGTAGCGTTTCCCGCCAACAGACATGTCGCATTTTAACATGCGACCACACACACACACACACACACAATACAGTCTTTTCTTTCCAAATGGCTCATTGTCAAGACATCTATCCTGTACAAAGGCGGCCTTAACCCCCATCACCTTGCTTCCAAAATGGGTCTGTTGCCTAGCAGCCGAACACCAGACAGGAGGACCCACCACCAGACACACACACCCCTTCCTAAATCAAACCCTTGGCAGCTTTGGTTGCTAGGAAATGAGGTTCATGCATGCCCATCTAATCCAGACAGTGGGATGATTTGAGGAAATTGTCAGCGAGGCGTGTGTGTGTCTGTGTGCATGGGAAGCTGATATTTGGTTTGATGCTGCAGTCTGGAAATCACCTGCCCTCACCGTGACCTGAGCAGCAGCCAGTCTGTGCTGTGTAAACTTAACATCCGCCTGGAAACTAGTCTCACTTCTACCCCACACCAGATGGAGACCAATCACATCTGCACTCAGGACTTTAGTCAAAAAAAAAAAAAATGGCATATATGCCTTCTTATCTTCTGATGTGCTCTCAGAAAAGCATGCAGATGTTACCTTATCATTGTCCAGAGGGTCTTTCTGGATGAAGGCCTGGACAAATTCTTCAGGTCCAATGTAACTCAGTCTCTCCTGAAAAGGAAAAGAAACTCTCAAAATCCATCTTTGTTTGCATTTCCCTAAAAACTGTGACTCTAAAACAGCTTTGAGAAAGATTTCTATGTTTTAAAGGTTGCGAACACAGAGACCCCCAGAAGGCTCCCCCTACATTAGTTAGGGGCTCAGGTCATCTTCTCAGGTGGAACCCCAGGTTCCTTCTCTCCTTTTGATTCCTTTTTTTTTTTTTATTCATTCATCTTCTACCGCTTAATCCCGGAACGGGGTCACAAGGGGGGGGGAGCCAATCCCGGCCGGCAATCGGGCGAAGGCAGGGTATACCCTGGACAGGTCGCCAATCCATCGCAGGGCTAACACATAGACAAACAACCACACACGCACACGCACTCCTATGGGCAATTTAGAGACACCAATCAACCTAAGCTGCATGTCTTTGGACTGCGGGAGGAAGCCGGAGTACCCGGAGAGAACCCACGCAAGCACGAGGAGAACATGCAAACTCCACACAGAAAGGTCCCGGGCGGGGCCCAAACCTGGAGCCTTCTTGCTGTGAGGCAACGGTGCTGACCACTGCGCCACCGTGCTGCCCCTTTTGATTCTTATGTCCCTTAATTAAACATAGTTTTCTCAAGTTACTGAGTTTCTTTCCAACAAATAGCCCTGTTAAAAATCAGTGCTGTGCTAAATCAGACATGGGAGAAACTGAGGCATTCAGGTCACGTTGACTACAACACGGATCTCTTATCCATCATAAATGTCAGCTCCCTCCTCTGTCACAAGTTCTCTTCTGCAGCGTTGATGTAGACGGATTCTCTGTGCGAGTCACCAGTAGGCTTCTGATTGCTCTCCGGGAGGTAACATTTACATTTTAATTTGGTTTGGCGCGTCACAACAAATGATTGATCTGATGACTTTTAAGATGGAAATGAGCCTTCGGAACCAAGTTTGGCTCCATTTCAGGTAGATCAATGGACACCGTCCTTGACAAAGTTTATCCCCAGAATGTCAGACACTGGGAGAAAGTCCCACTGTGACTCTCCAGAGCCAAAGGTGGTGTCTCCACATGTCGTGTTGTGTCCAACCAGCAGATCCACAGAGACTCAACTGATTCTCATGTCTGACAAAGAAAAGCATCAGCTCCTCACATTAAAGAAAGTGGAACCAGAACATGTCGGTGACTGTTGCTTCTAAATAGCTGCTGGTTCATTTTCTACCAGTGAACTGACTCATGGCTGCAGCTCTAGGTCACTGAATGTCTTCATGAGGACGACACAGCGGGTTGGACACAGTGAGGGGATCTGGTTTGGAAGGAGGAGGTTTCCTCCTCCGACAGAGGAGACCTGATAAGGGTCTGGAGACTTGGCACTAACAAGGCTCTGCTGGTCACTGGGTGGTGGTTTGTCAACATTTGTGTATAGAAAAGTTGTACAACTTCTGGATTGCTCACCAGTTCTATGTGTGTAAGCTGCTGGGCAACAGTGAAGGGATCATTGCAAATGGACAGCATGTCTCTCTGGATGGCCGCCTGGGGCTTTGCTTTAAGAGCCGTCAGTCTCTCAGCTGCTGTGGCGTTGATCTTAACCAGCGCCTCCTCGTACTGGCTGAGCACAGTCAACCTCCTGATCAGACCTTGGCTCATCTGGCCAAACGCCTTCCTGTAAACCTGAGGGATGAAGGGGGAAAACAAAGCAATGGTTAGTTAGAACTCAGTGCTTAAAAGCCTCAAAAAAAAAAAAAAATGCTGTAGTTCCTAGAATAACAAATTCAGTAAGGGCTGATGATATTTCCACAAACTCCAGCATATGAAGTTTCTTTTCACATGACATACTATCTTTGGATCATTGACGACCCCCTATGGCTTGGATTTCCTGTTCTCCAGCCCCGGAGAACAGGTTTGAAACACATTGGCAAAGCTACCGTTGTTAAACTTTTCCATTATATGCCATATTTGTGGGCATAAGAAAGAGGCCCTACACAAGCATAAGAACTGAGGGAGCTGATTGTGCTGTAAATTGATATAGCCACATCGTTTAGCTCAGTTGTTGGCATTTTAGGTTCATCCCTTCCCTAATGACTGCTCTGTGGCAGAGAGTAATAACACCACCAGTGTTTTACAAAAAAAGCACCCTTTTGGACACACACTACGAGGGTCACTCACAGTGTTACACAAGTCTTTTTCGCTCATTAAGGCCTCTTAGCTCAAAGGGTTAGGGTTGGGGGGAGAAGACGCAATTGATTTTGTGTAGGTGGAGAAGAATGTGTTATTACATGAATGTAGAGGATCCTGTTCATGGCCTCTTCACACCACTGGCATGAGCTGCCCAAAACATCTGGGGTGACGAAGCCCCTTTTCTCACGACCACATCTCTCCTCACTGAACCTTCTGTCAACTCAGCCTCCAAAATCTGGGTTCTACAAACAAGACTCCAGCTCAAAAGTGGAAAACCTCATAACAGATGTGGAGGCCTGGTGCCCAGACAGTAGTTCGAGTGGACGCCCGAGGCTCCGCTGCAAACAGCCGGGCCGTGGCTATGGCATCTGCCTGTCAGGAGTGTGGTTGCGATGGTACATGAACAGACACGTTCACATGTCAGCCAATCAACTGGGACTGTGTGGATACAGCTGGTAAAAGGTGATTGCAAGACTGCAGGATGAAGAAAGATGAAGCTGCAGAGAGAACTTAGGTTTCCAATAGTACAGAAGGGTGGAGGACAACAGACGGAAAAACGTGTTTAAATGATCTCTGATGCTTTGTTAAAACGCCAACTGAAACTTTTACAAGGCTGCAACTTCTTATCACTTACTAATCAGTGTTAGTTAATCAAATGATGGTTTTATCTATAAAAATGTCAAATATTAGTGAAAAAGCCCGTTACAAGTTTCCAGAGTCCAAGAAGACAAATCAATCTGTGGGCATTAGAATGTGTTTTTACTATTCCAAGACTTAACTAAATAACACAAATTAAAAACAATTACTTGCAACCCTGCGAGAAATGCTTTGACATCTCAGTGTAAACACTGTCCACGCTGAGCTAATGCCTGAGCACATGCCTGCTCGGTGAGACCACAGTGAGTCACACCAGTGAAAATCACTTGTTGCCACTTCAAAGTCAACCATCTGCCGTAGCACAGAGTCGGGTATACTGTATATAGTCACAGATCTCAGAGACAACAGCATGTATGACATTTCTAAGCAGAGGGAGTCACATATTGCTGTTATGAATGGGGTCGGGAAAGGGGCACCCTAGCAGGGCCGCGCTGTTCCCTGGCAGTGTACAAGTCACCACGACCGAGTGCGTGGTTGGTTCATGCCATCACATCAGTAGAGGTCCTGTTTTTGTTTTTGGCTGAAAGGTCCTGCTGAGCGCCACCTGACCCAATCAAAAGCCTGACTGTTTTTAGCCACTTAGCCAAGCAGCACAAATGTACAGATGGTTAACGGTGCATCGGGAAGGAATATTTTACCTACATACAAATCCATGTTGTCCGGTCATGATGGCACAGAAATGACTCCCAGTCACCTGAAGAGGATGAATCAGCATTGAGTATTCCTTTGCTACAAATTGAGGTCAGGTGTCCAGTTATTCCAGATAAACTAAAGTCAAGTGTTTGTAAACAAGTGCAAGTTTTTCAGTTTTCTGAATGCCAACTTTCTACAGTCAAGTCTTTAAAGAGTCCTCTCTCAAAACAGCCATATCACAAGTGCTTGTTTTCATTATTTACATCCAACATGAGTGCTAGGCTCAAATCTAGTTTGCTAGCATTTGCTGACATAAAAGCACAGGAAGGGACTTGCCTGGCATTTTTTAAATTAAAGTGCAGTGAGTATTCAAACTAAAATTGGACCTGCGACGTCTGCTCTTACAGTACTTTCATCAGATCTTTGGTTTTAGATGTTACAGTGCCCCGGTGTACCTTTAATGGTGTCAGTTGTTCTTCCCCTGTCTATGTTAGGTCTTAATGAGCTAAAGATAATAGCCTGATGGACAATAGTTATATTTGTAAGTTTTCTTTAAGCAGGAGCAATAAGTGTTCCCTTCAGAGAAAAGTGGACAAACTAACAGAGCCTTTGTTACAAAGTTGTCACAAACCAGACTCGTGCTGAAGTGTGTATTTTTCAACAGCTGGGATATCAACGCTACTGATACACAAATGAAACTTCCCAAAGTAACTTTGAATACAGTGCAGGGGCCCCTTTCATAAAGGGTAATGTGCATGAATCGTTTGAATTAAAAACTGTGGTGTGTGTCCAACAGTCTGCCAGGCATCCAGACTGGGCATATAATGCGGGATCTCTTAAATCAACTGAGCTTGTCATAATAAAGCCAAAAAAATAAAAAAACTCTGCACAGTTTGGAGGAAGAAAAGAACTGCATCCCACCACATGAGGTCAGGTCAAGATCACAGTGCTTGTTTACTTCTGAGCTGCTGCATCCACATATATCCAACCACATCCATAATGACAGTCTTACTACAGAGATCAAGGTCCTGGAAGGTTTTGAGTGTGGTCAGGCCGAGACTTTGACCAGATGTTTGGAACGTCTATTTCTGGACATGAAACTGTTCCCAGAGCGCTGCAGTCCATTCTCTGAAGAATTAGCATCCACCTCTGAACTGCTTATGGGTAGACATTTGTGTTTCGTTTTCAAAACATGATATAAAGAATCTCTTCTAAGAGATGTCCTGTGGCGTTCACACTACCCAGAGCAAGGAATCATGCTTTATTAACACGGGTCATTAGATCTTTGAGAAGCCAGCATTCCTATTAATTCTAACACACCAGATTCATTACAGAGGTCTGAGGATGTGCTAGAACAGAGTCCAACAGTACAGGAACTTCAGCAATCACACAGTGCAATGAGTTAGAAAAAAGACAAAAAAAAAATAGAACACAAACATTAAAATTATTGAACAACCAGTCCAACATCCTGGTTCAAATTTCACCTACAACAGTGACAGTTGCTCTTGAACACAGAATTTGTAACACTGAGGACTCATAGACAAAAGTTTTGGTGCTATTACTTTCAATTTCAACTCCAAAGAGGTGGTTTAGACACTAAACAAATGAGAGGCAATCTAAGTTGGATACGTTCCTGTGGATTTCAATTATTTGGGTATATTGGGAAAACAAGACATGTCTCATTTTTGTAACTGCACTTAGTGCTGCATTATCTCATAGGTCAGTAGCAGGAAATCGTGTGTGATATGGCTGCAGCCAGTCTGCCGCAGAAACCAAAAGATGTTTGTGCGACAATCAAAACACTGCACCCATGTCTCTGAACACGAGTGTGTATTACTTGCATTCAGTTCAGATGTGTTTTATGTCCAGAGGCTGCAGCAAGACAGCAGATATGGGGAGCTGTAAATGTGTCCAAGTTTCATCTGAGGCATATTGATTTCTAGATAAACACAGAATCAATACTCGTGCCTGTACTATTGATGAGTTGTGGACCCTGCATTCAAAACAGTGGGGGGTGGGTGGTTTGCATTTTCTTGACTGGTGAAGAAGGGATGTCTTCTGTAGGGACAGATGGATGTTTGTGTTCTCCATCACCGTCTGGTCCTAACAAGCCCCTGCTGCCTCATCGTCAACAGCAACGCACCAAAAATACATAAACTCCACTGGGACACACAACCAGGCAGAAAACACCAAAACATGCATCAGAAAAGCCCTGATTCATGATGACCAACCAAATTAATGGTCTAGAAGAAAACATCTAATGCAATGCTAACCCAGTTAGAGCTGGAAAAGATGAAGGCTAGATATAAAAACTCCATGAGACCTCCACAAAAACTCAAACTAAGATGGGCATCTGAGGGGGTACACTTTTTTTTTATGTCTTTTTGTAAAAGATACCAGACCAAAAACCATCAGCACGAGCAACGAGACCATCCATTTAAAGGAATCGCTTAATATTTTGAGAAATTAAGTTTCTTCTCTTTTGTGCCAAGAGTTAGCAGAGAAGATTGATACCACTGATAAAAGCAACTTAGCTTAGCATATTATGAGAGACAGGGGAAAACAACCAGTCTGGCATGTCAGGAAATAATTACAACAACACTTTTCTGCTCTACAAAAATAAATTAATTAATTTAAAAAAAACCTTCCACACAGCGTAGCAGAGCCTAATGACAGAATACGCCAAAGACATTCACATCTGCAGCAGTGGAACAATCCAAACGCTGTCTAGGAAGGAGCACCCCAGAGATGACAAAAAAGCCATGTAGCCTATGAACAATAGTGCTTTCTCTCAACTCAGCCAGCCTCAAAATCTGCTTTGTTGCCAGACATCCACCTCTCTGCACTGCTATCTGCAAAGATCTGCCTGTGCCTGTAGCTTTGCTATGAAAGAGCAGCTTAACTAAACATTATCTAATCAGCAAGTCTTTTGTTCCTTAACTAATTTAGTATGAATAACTTTTCTGTTGCACATCTTGGCATGAAGAAACCAGACTGACCTCGTCTCCACTGGCCAGCCGGTGCGTCCGCTCCTTCAGGCTGCGCATCATTCTCTCATCCCTGAAGTCATATGGGAAGGTTTCCGTCCACTCTGTCAGCAGCTGGAGGATCTTGGGAGCAATCTTCCGAACTCTCGTCTGAAAACAGGATAAACACATTGGTACTGAGGAAACAGAAAGGCGAACCAAAAGTAGGCTGTAGAAGGTCGACAGCTAGGAGTCCACACAATGCTTTACTGATTCCTTAAATTTCATTGAGAAGAACTAGAAATCTGATATAACTGAGAAAGGATTTTTTTTTTTTGCTGTACACACCTTGTCGGCTTGGGGATCACTGAGACGCTGTTGTTCCATGCACAGGTGACACACCTTGGACATGAGTTCATACGGGTGGATGAAGAGACGCGAGCTGAGCAGGAAGGTGAAAATGTACGTCCTCTGTGGAAAGAAAAGAAAGCGTTTATTGCAAAAGAAAATCATGATCATTTAAGTTTGACAATGGGCTTTAAAGTTACATGAATACAGAACTCAGTGAGAATGATACCAAAAACAACAAAAGTGGCAAGTAGAGGGAATGAAAACCTTTGATCCCTGTTGTATGGACAGAAAATGAAATACAAGAAAGAAAGAAAGATGAAAAGGAAAGCAGCTTTTCATAAATAAAACAGATTCTACCTTCTTCCTTTGATGAAATGGCAAAGAAAACAAAACCATGAGGGATATAAAAAAAAAGTGTAAACAGCATAAAGACATTACTCACGTCCGGATAGTAATCTACAGTTGGGACCAGGTGGTGAATCAGGGCCTCCAGGGACCCAGACACCAGGTTGTTGTCATGATAGTAGAGGCCGGGGTAGCCTTCCTCCTTGGTCTGGTACAGGTTCTTGTTGTAGCTGCTGGAGTTCAGCTGCCCTGTGAATGGTGGAGTCTGAGGCATGTTGTCCTGCAAGGGGGGAATAAAGGACAAGCACAGGAATGGTTAGGACTCTTCGGATACTTCACCGCAGACGCTGATGTAGGACGACCAATCAAATCTAAAATAGCTCTGAGACAAAACAGATGGCAAAGATTTGTTTGGGAAATGGTTTGGACACAGTCACCACCCTTCTTTCTCTGGATCCCAAGGTTAAGGTTTCTGGGTTTAGTTTCACTGGGTGTGCAATTAGTCAACTGCAAAAAGGAGCTGACAAACTGTGGTTGAGGATCATGGATGGAGCCTTGACCCTGGCAGTATCAGTGCCCTGCACTAAACTCTGCTGCCAGCAATATCAACCTTAAACCTTTAACATCTGAAAATAAAGGAATTCTCAGAAAACAAAACCAAAGGATTCAGATTTGACTCACAAAGAGAAGGTATTTAATGATGAATGAGCTCTGTTAATGTGCTTCAACATGCAGACACAAAAATGAAAGTTCACCAAAAACATGCAAGAGCTTGTGAGAGACTGTGGACCACGCTGTAACCCTGCAGGGCATCCTGATCATTACCACCGCTGCCATATGCAGAACACAAAGCAAGAGGAGAGTGTGTGCATGTGTGTGGGTCAAAGAGGCAGAACGAAGCGCGATTCAAGGTATAACATGACCAGTAGAAGAATATTACACTACCATGGGTCAAATAGTACAAGTAGCATTAGCTTCCAAAAGCAGACATGTACACCTGTACTGACAACATGAGTGAACTCAGCAAAGTGTCTTTTACTACTTAGGAATTCAACTTTTCACACATTAGACAAGTTACATGTTATTTCTTCTTGTAGCTGCCACAACCATGATGAAATCCTCACTCTCTGGTCTAAAACAGGTCCTCACAAAGGTAGAACAGACAAGCTCACACAGCAGCCTCCTGACCTCTGAACCTGGCACTCTGGCTCCATCCCACATCAGGCAGACTTATGGCCTGAAAAACACAAAGGGCCTTTTCACGCAGTGGGGGGAGCTCAGGGTGAAGAAACCCCACCTCCACATCCTTAACACCCCTGCCTCCTTGACAATGTGCTGCCCTGTGGTTGCCTGCCAAGTCAGGAAACATTCAAGGTTTATGAATGGAGGTGCTGCCAGGGACGGATACACAGATGCCAGGAGGTGTAAACTGTACCTGCCCACGCAAGTAAATTTAGGGTTTCTTTATCCTCTGATGGTAAATTTGGTTCACAGAGAAAGCTTACAGCTGGAAAAAAAATATATCATCATATCACATATAACAGGCATTGATATCACCTGGTCAGAGTGCAGAGGGAACTCAGATTTTACTTAGTTGTCTTAAAAAGGTCAAACACAGCCCAAGTCTTGAGCTTCACCTTTAAAAACAAAAATCACATTTCCATTTGCCTGCTTGAGACAGATAGCAAAACAATCCCCGTTTATTCATAAGCTGACACAAAGCCACCACACATGAGGCACACCACCCAGCTCTCCACTTTCACACGCATGCTGCTCAACAATACACGCGTGCACACTCCAACCATCGCTATTATTCAGCCAGACAACCATGGCCATTTCCATGAGAAAGGCAAGTGTGAGGAGTCGGAGCACAGCGGCCTGAGCATCTGCTGCACCATGTGGCTTCCCTGCAGAGATGGGAGATCACGAGTTGGAGGGAGGGAGAGAGGAGGGATACCCCAATAAAAGTCACGGTTTACATAAAGTGCTCTTTCCTTACGAGCTCCACCACAAAGTCACTTAGTTACAGTTTCTTACTTAGCACGTACCTCCACAGATGTCTACAGATCAGAGCAGCTCTGAACACATCACTAGGGTTATGATAAAGAGCACATGAACAGCAGCAGGTGGCCAAGTGCGTAGAACTTGTCCCAGTCACATTTTCCATCTGGGATCTGAATCACCAGCTCACTGATCCTACACCATCCCTGTCTTCATGTTACATAACATAACAATAGCACCAGTGAGTTGCCAGAGGAGCACTGGTATCGAACAGGGAGTGTGTGTTGCCTGATACCCTGAGGTGAGGTATCAGATTTGTATCAGCAGAGAAAGAGTCAGACTGGTGCATACCAACTTCATTCTTCTATCAGCCAGTTAAGCTGGACTGTGATTAATCACAAGATTTGGAGATGTCATCTAATACTGCAACAAGTTGTACTGCAGCATCACCCTCATGCTGCCAGGAGCAGGTGGGAGACTGAAGAGAAAGGCTGCGTCTCTACTATAAAGAAAAGCCTTGAGGACACCACAGGACCAGACGCTGCAGGTCGTCTTTAACCTGCCTCTAATCAAATCCTTCCTTCTTCCTAGCAGCGCATGCACGCCATAAATCTTAAGACATGTTTGTACTTTACCGCCGCTCTTGCTTGTACTGCTTTGTCTTAAAAAAAATACAGGGTGGGGCGGTTGTGACTCGGAGTACAGTGGGTCATCTCCAAACCAGAAGGCCAGCAGCTTGATTCCAGGCTTCTCCGCAAGGCGCTGACCCCCCAGTTGCTCCTGGTGATGTCAGTGGTGTGTGGAAATGCTTTCAGTGTGTTGAAATGCATAGAAAGGTGCTGTACACATATAAGACCATGTAGTTTCATAATTTAGATGTATTCTAATGTAGTTTTGTTATTTTAAATACTTTCATTTGTTCTTGTGAAGAAATGTCCACGGTTTGAAAATTGCTACACAAGAAAAGGTTTTACTAAGAAAAACCAGGGCCTTGTGGTGATGAGCGAGACCCTGCGTTCAGGTTAAAAAGTGCTCCACACACGCCAGCTGCAGCCTCCACCATAATCTGAAAAACAAAGCCAGGGACGCTTACAAGCAGCAACAACTTAGCCACACTGATTTACATTTGGCTTCCAGGTGTCATGCACCGTAGAAGCAGGCAGCGGAGGACGGCGCGAACACATGTCGAGTCTTTAGGCCTGACAAAAGCAAACTCTCATCCCGCTGCTGTTGGTTTAACGTGGCCGACGGCAGCTGGAGGTAAACAAACAAAATGCCTCTGCTTGCATGAATGGTTTTAATTATAACCTCACTGGTTGTGTGTGTAGCCATCTGCTGTGACATATAAAGAAGTCTGATTCAGACTTAAAAGCAAATTAAAACAGTTAAAGATATTCTAATTTCTGTCTCTTTCTGCTCATTCATGAGCTGCAGGTCACAACATGTCCAGTGTTTAAACTGTGACAGCCTGTTTTTTTACAATCACACTGCTCTGTCATAAAGCAGCGAGTCTCTCAGATCATTTCTTGGATGAAGAGCTGACTCGGGACATCTCACGGTCATCGGAAGATCTGGGACTTCCTGCGCTGTGTAATATTTACACAGAAGCAGGGCTTTTACCTGAAACAGATGACACTGAAATGAAACTGAAAGACTATACTGCTGACACCCTGCAGCATTTGGAAGCTAAATAAAGAGAAAAGGAATTCTTAGTTTCAGAACATGATTAACTGAAAGGTTATCAAAATGTCAAAATAGTCCCCTTTTTTTTCTGTGGGTAAATTTTGAAACAGAAGTGCAGTGGCTTGGAAAGCTCCAAACGTCCCCAGGCAAACATCAAATTAGGAGTAAAACCCCAGCGTTTACGTGAAGTTACGTTCAGGCTGCAGAGCCATCAGTGGCCCTGGCTTGCAGGTAATCTGGTCAAAGTGTATGGGTGGAGCTGCCTCCCCACAACGAGAACAAGGGAGTCCTGCTCAAAACACAAGCTATCAAAGAGCTGACCGAGACTCTCCCCACCCTGCTGCAGTGCTAACGATCACTGGTGATGAGCAGCCATCAGCAGTTCAGAGGCTGTAAAGTAAAAAGCCTGAGCACACAGGAAATCATTCCTGTGGTCCAGCAGACGTGCACAAGCGGCCAGACAAGTCTGCTGTTCAGGTGCGCTTCTGACACCCATTTCCCTAAGAAACATCTTTCTGTAACCGCTGAGGCGCACAGAGCAGCGAAGCTCTGAGATTTGTGATGTAATAAAACATCCTTTGCGGCCCCTAAACGAATAACAGCGATGTGGCTGATAAGTAGGAGGCGCTGAAGTGAAAGCTGCAGAGGAGCAGCAGAAAGGTGCTTTGTTTTTGCTTTATTTGGGCTAAAAGAGGAGGGAGAATGTGATTCTGGCACAGAGACACAGCAGTAAATCAGTCCCCACCCCCCACTGTGTAAACACTGAAAGGCATCTCACTCATCCATGGCTTGAGGAAATGAGGGTGAGAGATAACCGAGTGGCTGCACATGGCGCTGAGGAGGCCGCACTGGAACAGCAGAAGTGGTCAGGATAAAGACGGACAGTCGGTGGTGGTGGTGTTTGAAGCACCAGAAGTACTTTAAACTAAGCTGAAGAGTTTTGAGTAGAAACGCACCTGCTTTGGACGGCTGGAGGCAAAATGTGGGAAATGCTGCATCTTCCCATTGATCCAAATACAGCTCTGGTGTTGAATATGGATGTGATCATTCAGGAAGACGTGACAAATCACAACTTTAGAGTTAAAACTGACACTCAACAACAGCAAGGACATGCACAAACCAGAAGAGACAGCTGAGAGAAATCTCTCTTAACCTCTTTCAGTCCCACTGACCTGCCAGTAGGTCAGACTGTGCACGTGCACGCACACACACACACACACACACACACACACACACACACACACACAAAGCAGCTAATCTCTGCTCAAGGCCAAAGGAAAGCATTTCAAGGATAGCAGAAATCTGGATTTTGGGGATTACATACAGACAGTGATGCAAAAGACGTGGGTTTGAACATTTCACACAGTGTGAACATCATATGAAAAGCTGAAACAAGTCGACATTATCACAGGTAATGACTGAGGGAGAAAGTCAAGTCTGATAACCTGGTGCACGCAATCCAAGTACTACACAAACTTTAGCAATTTTACATCCCACTGCCATCTAAGAATTGTTTTTCCAAGCTCCTTTTACTCTTGGTATAAAGCAAAATAGACCCATCTCCCATCTGATTGGCGTGTGATAACAGCCTTTAAACAAGACCCTCTTATTGTTCGCGGCTGATATAAGCCATTTTAACACATTAGAGTAACCATTTCCTAATGGTTTCTTCACACTTTCTATGACTGAAAAACCTACGACCATGGACATTTTCCAAGCAATTCCACCCAGAAGCTGAGCAAACACTGCGGTGGTGACACAGCAGCCATCCAACACACGGACATCAGTGTACAAACAGCCACCCCCTCCACCTGCCTGGACGATGTTTACACCAGTGAGTGCTGTAACACCAGCAGTGTTTTGACTTTGGGGAGTGATTGCAGCTGTTGCTGTGAGTGGTGAAAATCACAGCATCCATATAGGATTCCGTCAGCTGGTGTCGTCAGACTTCAGAGCCTCCCATTTCAACATTTTAGTGCCAACTGAGGCCAGAAATGCTCTGAAAAGATTACAATTTTAGCATCTTCAATTCCATGACAACTCGCTGTGCTGACGAAGACTGTGGGATAAGATCAATAACTCCAGAAAAGCTACTAAAGAGAGATTTAAAAGATGCTTTGACATGCTAATCAATACTGTAACTCGGTGCTGACCCATGTGAAAAACGGCTGCGAGCAAACTTGTTTTGAATCCCCGAGCTCTGTAGTCTACACAGCTTTTTATCTGCAGTTACATCAGCGCTTGCACCACATATCAGGCTCCTGTCTCTTCAATGATCCTAGGTCATAATAAGAAACTAAGCATTTCTCCAGATCCCCCAGTTGTATAAACAAAACCCACCACACTGCACCAGAGTACAGCTCCACCATGCAACCCAGTGTTTACAGGAGGAGGCACCTTCAAACTCTCAGCCGACCAAATCACTAACAAACGAAAGCTGGCAGCACAACGAGGGAAACCCTATGAATGTCTGTAACATAGAGCCGTGGCACCGAGAGCCAAAGAGGACAGGCCGGGGAGAGGTGGGACTAGCTCACTGATCCCCCACTGTCTTGCAGAGGAGCAGAACAAATCCTCTTAGTCACAAGGTTAATAATAGTCCGCCATTGACACTCCTGCTATTTGGGGAACATTATGGGGGTCACTTGTAAATAAAACGCTATAAAGAGCATCTTAGTGAAGCCAGTTAATTTGCCTGCTGTTATTCTGGAGGATGGATAAAGTCAATTGGGGAACACTACGCGCGCTTCCACTGCAAAATAAGGTTCAGTTTAAACACTAGAAACTCAAGGTGCAATGTTAATATTTGCAGTAAGTTGGGAGCACAGTCACGGAGCAGCCTGTAAGCGGCCAGTTTCATTTACAAACGCTGTCTCCTCTTTGGCTGCAATTAAAGTGCGCTCTTTCCACCACCTGCGCGCATTTTGGACAAGCTCCGCCGGGTCTCCGCGGCGCACAAACCACGATGCAGCATTCAATAAAAACAAATCCTCACAGCTCACCTCAACCAGCAGTAATCCAGACACGAACCTCCCTCGTATCCTCTCCGAAAATGTGACAAACAGCCGAGGCTTTCTCCTTTTACACGTGAATCAACCGAGGCGATGAAATCCAGGAGCCCGTGCCTTCCCCGGCCGCTCACTGCGTCATGGTTCAGGTGGAAATGCAAGAGAAACGTGTATTCCCGGCTTCAGATCAGGAATTGGAGCTCCAGCTGCGTCCGCTGCTTCGGCTGTGTATAAACTCCGGAGCCGAGACCGGCCTCTGGGCCTCCGCGGCCAATCAGGGGAGAGCTCCCTCCTCCCTCTCTCCCTGTGTCATCCTCCCCCTCTATTCGCTTTCAATTCCTATTCTCCCACAACGACAGGGTTACCATCAGTACCACACTCTTCCTATTCAGTTTGATCTGTTTACGGGAATTTCAGGTTAAGTGTTGCATTTAAAGAAAATCACATTAGAAACAACCAGTGACGGTTTTAGATGAGCTGCTCCTGTTCTCTACATTAACCTGCTCTCACTGCTGTGTCCACAGCAAACTGAAAACGGTTCTGGGTTTTTTGGTATCATTAGTTTGTGTGTGTGTGTGTGTGTGTGTGTCTATCGGACTGTCCATAGGGGGACGTGGGTCCTCAGGAACATTTTGATTCTGCCACCTTCCACGTCCTATGCATTTGAATGTAAAACATACTAAGCTGATGAAATTATATTTTCTTGCACAGAAAATGCAACAACAGTAAAAGGTCTTTTCTTACCAGAGGCAAATTTCCTAACATTTATCAAATCAATATCCTGTGGATGAACTGCTTCTCATCAATTACACTAAGCTATTTAATACATTTACTCATGGAGCCTGATGAAAAGAGGAGGACCAGAGTTGTTACCATTCATCCTGGGGGGACATGAATGTCTGTACCATGCACACAGTAACAATCCACCCGATAGCTGTTTGACATGTTTCTCTACAAACACAGAAAAGTCAGATGATCAGCATAGAGTAGGATTTATCCTCTGGGAACCATGAATGAATGAAAATATCAGATTTCATCACAGTTCGCAGTGAAACACACGCACACACTATTTTCATTTCACCCACACGAGCTGATGAAGAAACAGAATTATTGTCCATCCTTGCAAAGGTTTTATCCTGGTATAAAACATGTTTGTGTAACAGGACACCAGACTGAGCAGCACTGGCTCCAATCTGTGGTTAGCATTTCAAATGTTAAAGCAAACAGAGCTTTTCCAGTATTAAATGTAAACTTGATCAAGTTAAAAAACAATGCTCAGCTTGACAATTATGCATTTTGATCTTGAGCTTCGATTTAAAGTGTAGTTGGTGTTTGAATTAGTTTGGAAAAGGATGCAGGAGCATTAAGTCATGAAAAGTCAGTCCAGATCAAAGTTTAGACTGATCCTACTCAATATTGTCAAGTATCAGTAGAGTTTAACAAGCTTCTGTTCACACTGTTGACAGATTCCAGCAGAAAACAGAAGATGGTTGGAAATATTTACTTTTAATTTATATAAAAGTGCATGAAACAGTTCCCATGTATGTGGTACAATCAACTGGTACTCAGAAATCCTTAGACAGAAGAACAATTTCTCCTTTACAGTTGATTTTTTTCTGAGCACTACCACCCACACTTGTCAGTCAACAGTCATCTTCTTATACTCTTGGATTTTTAGGGTCTTTTCCTGTTTGCAGTTCTGCCAAAACTAGACATGCACCGATTGCAATTTTCTTGACTGAGTTTCCAATTTTGTTTAAGTCTGGCCTGTCGGTTCAGAATCTAAGAACTGTGAATGACAGCATACATTTCTATAACGCTTCTTTAATGAAAAATGTTACTGTAATAAAACATTGTATTAAAGTTGAACATTTTACATCTTTCTCTCACTTTTTCTTCTACAAACTTCCAACTAGAAGTGAAGTGCAATATTTGTACTCCTCCAAATATAAACAGGTGCAAAAGGTAAAAGAAACAGAAGAATGTCTGTTACTACTGAGCACACTGTTGTTATTGAAGTGTGTGTACAACCCCAAATCAGAAAAGGTTGGGATGGTGTGTAAAATTAAAACTGAAAATAGTGACGTGTGGATCATCTGTGCCCTGTTGGATATTGGAAACAATACAGCAGCACATTATTTGATGCGACACCTCATCACTTTTATTCTTTGTTCAAAATAAACACTCACTTCCATTCTGATGCCTGCAACACGTTCCACAAAAAGTTGGAACAGTAAAGCGTTTACCACGGTGTAAGGCTGCCGTTCCTTTTCACACTTAGACTTAAAAGATCTTTAGGGACTGAGGACACCAAGTGATTCAGTGCCAGGTGTCATTTTGTCCCATTCTTCCTGCAAACAAGTCCTAAGAAGCACAACAGTCCTGGGTCTTCATTGACGCAATCTGTGTTTCAAAATGCACCACACACTCTCTACCGAGGACAGGCTGGGACTGCAGGCAGGCCCGTCCAACACTGGCAGTCTTTCACTTCACAGCCAGACCTCGGTAAAGTGTTATTTTGAACACAGAATAATAGTGACGAGGTATCACATCAAATAATGTGCTGCTGTATTGTTTTCAATGTAACACAGGACACAGACGACTACAAATCACTATTTAGAGTTATAATTTTGATTTTACATACCGTCCAAACCTTTTCTGATTTGGGGTTGTACTGTGTTTTACCACGGGTTGGACACACTGTACATATACATGCATTTCACGTGTAGCCAGTAATTCCCTCATTGTGCACTATTTGCCAATGATTTGGACGTAGTTTTCCCTTCTCCGAGGTGTTTCTGTGCACTGTTTGTACACCAAGAGCTTTCAATTGCGCAAGTGAACAAGCGTCTAGTACAGACACGAGCGCGAGCCTCCCTTGAGGTGCACACAAGATGCTACGCACTGCAAATGCTACAGTTATGGTCTGTGCCACTGTAGCCGTCCCTGGTAGGCTAGTGGTTAAGGCGCAGCGCTCTCGCTGCTCTTGAATCAGGGTTGCATCAGGAAGGGCATCCGGCCTAAAACACGTGCCAAATGTCAACATGCGAGTTGTCAGTGTGATGATTCGCTGTGGTGACCCCTAAACAGGAAAAGCCAAAAGTGACTTTCTATGGTCTGTGCCACTGCGTGTGTGATGTAAACTGTTGTGCCTCTAAATCTGACCAGCACAGAAACGGGTATCTTAGATTGATCGGGCAGTCACCAGTTGAGACTGTTCATGCTGAAAAACAGACATTTCCGATCTCCACTAATGGATCAGTGCATCTCCAACTAAAATCTCACAGTTTGTATTATCAGTGTTGTTCTATCGTTCCACCAGAGCCTGAATACCATTCTACACTTGACCACCACTCCTTGGTGTGAGTGCATCCTAGTTTCCATCTTTTTTGATGCTATGATTTCGGACCAGTCGGCGCCTCTACCACAGTTTGACTACTTCCACATCTACACCCATGTTCTCTGGCTAGACTGGTGAGGAGCTCCAGAACTCTGACCTCATGCTCCATGCGAGCTCTCTCCCTCCTCTCCTCCCTCTCAGCCATCTCCCTCTGCCGGCACTCCTCCCTCTGCAGCCACTGGGCCAGGAGTTCCTGGTGCCAGCGGGCCTGCTCCTGCCTCTGGTTCTCCAGCTGCACCAGCAGGCACCTGGCCTCCGACACCAGCTGTTGAAAGCACTCCGACAGGTGCTTGAGGACAGGTTCCAGGCAGGAGGATTCAGGGTGAGTGTGGCCAGAGGCAGGAATAGTGGTGGGGCTCGGATCTGGGGGTGCAGGGAGAGGACAGGCAGGAGACTGGGCAAGAGGGGGATGAGGAGCAGCTGGAGGTGGAACAACATGTGGAGAAGGAGAGCTCAAGCTGTTGTCCACTGGTGTACCTATGACACAGGATAAAAACAAAGAAGTTATGAGATTATCACTAATGGCAGGAAAATTTTTGGAGCTGAAATAATTTCAATTAATGGACTAGTTGAACAATGGAAGATTCATGCGCAGGAGTAATTAAATCATTATCAAACAGGAGTCAACATATACAACATTTTCTAAAAAGCAAAGAAGATTTTTACCAACACTTAGCACTGGGCAGGTGTCAACCTCTTCGTCTATGGTTTATATAAAAATGATAGTGCATACCATTCATTTCCTGATGGATGGATGATTCTATATAAACCTCATGGCGTCTGTCTTTAAGATGTTGTGGCAATCCTGCGTCGCTGAACTCAAACTCATCCGTTGAATTCTCGCCATCCTCCAACTTGACTTCAGAGTCTAGCTGCCATGACTGTCGGCCTCTTTTCTCATCTAAAGAGCTCAAATGTTGTCTTCTTGTCCTTCCCAAAAAGCCAAAGTGGTGTCCAGCAACCTCTGTTTTAGAATTTAAATCTGGCAGGATACTTCCTGCCCTGTCAATGGAGTCAGGGTGACGTTCTGCCACACGATCTGGAGAAACAAAACAGGGGCCACCTTCACTGCCCGCTGACCTCCGGCCCAACACAGCATCCATCTCTGAAAAGTATTTAAAAGTGCAGGGCTGCAAGCTGTCAACGCTCCTTTGCAGTTTGGCTCTGACATAGTTAGCCTTAAGAGTTTTGACCCGAAGGCGGCACTGGTGCGGACTCCGAGAGAACCCCATTTCACTCATGCGGGCTGAGAGGTGTTTGAAGACATGGCGGTTACGGAGGTTTTCTGCCAAACTCTTCTGGACTCGCTCGTCGCTCCAGGCACACAACAGCACCTGTGTTTCCTCCACTGTCCAGTTAACAGAGCGCTCGGCCTCTCGCTTCCCTGCGCACACAGAAACACAGCTGAGAACAGTAAGCTGCCTCATAGTTGACTTGTTGGTCCCAGGTAATACTTCCAATATACACTGAAGACAAGCATCATTAAAGGACCTGCACTAGACCACAGACCCTTGAGCTGATATTAACATTGCCCTCACTTTAAACTAGAAAAACCAGCTGCCTGACTGACATAAAAATCTGCACATTCTGGGTCATAGGGATACAAGACTGACAACAAGCTACTCAATCCTCAACAGCTTAGTTTCAAGAGTGTGGTAATTTTCTCATCTTTCACTAGTATCCGCAATATAACACCTAATTATGCAGTCAAACAAAGGCTAACTATGGGAAACAAAAGCTATTTAATGTCTGCGGATAACTGTGCATGCTTTGCAACTAATTTAACAAGTCGATTTATAAACACGGGTCAAAAAATCTAAATACACGTCCCTATTTAGCCAAGATAGCATTCTAACATTAATCATGGTTGATAGCTAGCCAGCTGTTGGCTGAGACTACCACCTGAAAAGTTGAGGGTTAGCCAATAATCTATCTTAATTCAGACAGACATAAAACACTGCCGTAATAAAACTGCCCACAGTCCAAAAGGCTGAAAGTGTCACTGTGCAACCAGGATAGACAGCAACGAATGGTGAAAGGCTTTAAACTGAGTGAAACCAAACTAGAAAGTAATTTCTGTAACAAACACAGCTAACGTTAGCAGCAAACAGCTAGCTGACGTAGCTACATCACAGATTATGTGACTTCGTCTGCTTCCTTATAACGCTCAACAGTAAACAAACACCCCGGTTGTTTGTAGGGTTCTTACTTTTTGTTGTTGAAACAGAGTTGGTCGAGTTGATCATCGTAGGATTCATTTCGACGTGCTGCAGCAAATGTAAACAATCCTCACACACAAACAGCGACCCTCCTCTCTTCCGGGTGACGCAGCTCAATGCGTCACGTGTTTCCGCTTTGAGCGTAGCTCTTTCTATATTACATATTCACAGTCCAAAGACATACAGCTTAGGTTGATTGGCAACATTAATTGCCCGTAGGAGTGAGTGTGAGTGTGACGACCTGTCTAGGTGGACCCCGCCTCTCGCCCAGTATCAAGTGGGACAGGCTCCAGCTTCCCTATAACTCTATTCAGGAATAAGCGGTGTAGATAATGGATGGATATTAGAAATTACAAATAAAAACTGAAAAATTTAAAAAGAAAATGTATGATGACAATGATGACAATTTCCACACTAATTAGATTCTGCACTATTATTCTGGCTACTATTATTTTTCACACACCCACATAATGATGTCAGGTATAGTTTCCCCATAACACTCACTCACATTATACTGGCAATCAGGCTATAGATTATGTTACAGGTACTAGCCCTAAACCTTCTGCTCTATATTTTATCTTTACCATGCCTGTAGGATTAATCTCCTCTAGTAAACCTTTGCACAGTGCTACATATTAGTAATCTATTTATCAAGGTTAAATGAATGAAATGAAAATAATAAACCCATTAAAACAAATTTGATCAGGTTGAACACAATATAAACAATTCTCTCAAGGCATTTATTGGTAGCAGAATCAAATGAGATTGTTTTTAAACCTTGCCTTCAGTTCAGAATAATACACAGCCTACAAAATACTGTGTGAAAGTTCAAAAACAGAAATTACACACATTGGGGGCTAAAGTATACTTTATGTCAGATACCACAAAGGCTGATCAGACAGACAACAGAACTGCTTCATTCAGTTCAGTGAGACAGCACGGTGGGTCTATAAAACTAATAAGTTTAGTCTGTTTAAACGTTTGCCACAGTGCAGTCTCATGTAATCTGACAAGAAGTGCAGTGCATTTTTTTAATCACAAAAATGCAATAGCACATCCCTGTACTTTGTAATGTGAACAATGTAGTTCTACTGTTGACCTTGCAATCATTTAGACCTGTAAAATCCTGTATTATAAACATGGTGTGCAGTGTGGTTAGACATCTAATAAGTCTTAAAACTGCTGTATCTATCAAACAACAACACTGCTCCTTAAATTTTTAAGAAAGAGATCTTTTTGATCTGAATGCCCACACTGTCTCCTCTTAAGGCCCTGTTTGGACTGTGATTCTTGTATTCAGGTTCACTTTACCCAGATTATACTTGGGTCGAGCTGAGATAAACTCGTGTGGTACCAACATGTCTGAAATGTGCCCGTCTTTCAAAAAGGAATCAGAACCTTGTGAAGAAAAGAAACAATGGAGCAGAAAAGAATAAACAAAGTTGACTACACATGCATTACTTCACTGAAGCAGTAGCTATATGATCACATGGCCCTGACCATCAACAAAGGTAAGCACTCAGTTCAGGGCATTTCAGTTACAGTCATGCTTGTGTTTACGTCCGTCTACCCGAGATGCATTCTACCAGCTTCAGGTGAACATCCCCCAACAGTGCAACTCATTTCATCTTTGAATAACAAGAGGGAGCCATCCAGAGGAAACAGCTCCTAAAGAGGCTGTGAGGTGTTAATGTCTGTTGAGAGTAATTATGCCTGTAGGGGATAGGAGGAATTAGCTCATTTACCATCTTTCCAGGAACTTGAAGTTGAGAGTAATTATGCCTGTAGGGGATGGGAGGAATTAGCTCATTTACCATCTTGCCAGGAACTTGAAGAAGATCCAGTTTCCTCTCTGTGTGTTTAACGCAGTGATATCTACAGTTTTTAGTCTAGTTTAGCACTACAAGCAGGGAATAGTAGTAACTAAACAGCAGAAAAAACATATATAGTGACTTTGGAGGCAGTGTCAAACCCTGCCTAAATGTTGCTCTGAACTAGAGATGTGCCCTAGATGACAAACTAACGAGAGATTTTGTTTATGGTGTATATTTTGAGAGCTGGAAACTTTCATTAATTCCCGGAGTCAAGTGAAAGATCAACTCATCTCAGCAGCAGAAACTCAAACCACATGAAGGTTTCACTGTGCTGTCAATTACAAAAATCCTGAATGTTCTCACAATGAGGAAATGAGATGACAAGAAAAGGCAATGGGGCTATTTTAAACTTCTCAAAGGCGTTTGTACACACATTGAGGAAGAAGATTTAGGGAAATAAAAGAGCATGCAAAGACGTCCTCTTGTTACAATGGAAGACGGAGAAGGAACTTTCAACCACAGAAACCACGTTTCAGTTTTTGGTTTGAGGGACATATTTTCTACCCCGGAGAAAGTCCATGCTGCTGAGGTGGGACTTTCCAATGGGGTGGAGTCAATATTACACTATTTCTCCATGATATTGTTATTAGAACATAGGAGAGTAATTACTTTCAGTGTTACCGAGAGTTATATCACCATTACACAACCCATGTCCCAACATCTGTGTGAAAAACAAAATAAAAAAGTGGGCGACAAAGACAAATGAAACCAATGTTTTTTTGTGTAATTAGGTCAAACATTTTTCGTCTGCCTTTTCATATCTACGTCTCATTTCCAGTGAATCACAAAGAACAGTACAAGGACTATTTTGTTGTCTTACTGCAGTTTCAACAGAGCTTGGTAATGCATTGGTCACAGCTCTTCAGTTGTAGTAGAAACAAATACGAACATGCTAAATTCCAGTTTCTGATTAGGTTCTTGAATATTGTTACTATGGTAAGAAATGCCCCCACACTGGGAGAAATGTTAATCTGCCAAAGGTGAAATTAAAGCTCAATATCTCTGGACCAGTACAGATCAATACCCCTGCTAACCATTCTAAACCATTTGATGACATTCTGCACAACAGGCCTGAAAAAGTATGATTTCTTTGTTTCAGTCTTGGAGTAACTTTGAGCCCTGGAACTGGAAAGATTGTTCTCCACAGCACAAAGCTGTCACCGACTGCTTGGAAGCACACACGCTCAAACGTACAAGTGATAAGCCCACTATGGTGCAGGTAATTACAGGGGACAAGGAGAGCCAAGACAGTTGACTGGACGCTCAGCTCATTACTCACCCATGCCTCCAGGCAGTTCATTGCAGGCCCGCTGAGAGCCAGGCTTTTAATATATAGACAATAATAAATAAATAACTGCAGCGCACGCACTGCCTCCTCCTCTAGATTGTCTTCTGCCTTGCCCTCAAACATCAGAGCCAGGTTTCAGATCTTGTCCCGGTGTGATTTGTGGTGCACAAAGGCAGGTCAGTGAGCACACAGCAAGAGGGACACGCTGGAGACGGTTATGTTAGCTGAGGTATCCCACTGTGTCTGCATGCTGCTCTCTGGCATGGCTCCATCTTCTCTCCTTTCATATTCTTGATAAGCAGCAGCAGACGTGTTGTTTAGGTTAGTGGCTCGCAAACTCTCACACCCAACACAAAGACTCAACATGGGAGAGGTGCAACAATTCATGGAATCTGTCCTTTTTTTCAACTTGTGGCCCCCTAAGACCCCAATGAAGTCAAGTGAAGCCCTCCTGCAGACTATTAGCAAAATTCTAACATGCACATGCTACAAGTGAAAGCATTAAAGATCCTCAGGTCATTTGATATTAAAAAAAAGCGTGCAGTTTGCCTTGTAAGCTCAGCCACTTTGACTCTTGTTGCTACATGCAATTGGAAGATAAGATAAGATGAACCTTTATTAGTCCCACAACGAAGAAATTCACAACACAAACATTCAATACAATAGTGAGAAGGAAAAAGAAAAAGCTCAATAATGAGCAGGAGCTGCTGCAACAAACTGCCACCATCTTTGTGTGTTTTGCTGCCTCTTTGCAAACTGCCAATAATAATAATAATAATAATAATAATAATACATCTCAAGTCAAGAAGCTTACAGTGCTTTGAATTTTGTAGTTTGTGGTGCCTTTGAGTTGTGAATATTTGCACATACAGTAAGGTTAGGTGGATACATATTAAGACGCTGTTTACAGAAAAATGTAGCACTGTTTTTGTCTGCAACCCATATCCTCCACAATTATGGCTCTTATGACCAGTTAAACAAAACAGAAATCGATTCCTTTGGTGTTTCATTTCAGTCCGTATCAGTGCCTACACATGTGCTATGCTTTGTAGATATTTTCTACAGTAGACAGGGACTCTCATGTTTTTGGGTGGTGACCATAAGCTCATCATCGCCTGCTGATATTACACCAGCCTGTAAAGAAAATGGTCCCCTACAGCTGTGAATTACTGCTGCAAAGCATATGCCTGCACCAGGGTGGGATGCTGAACCACAGGACTTCAAAACACATGGACAAACCACGGCAGGTCATTTATTAGCCATAAAAGTGAGTTTCAGATGATGTATTTTCTTCACTCTGGTCTTCAGATGAATTACAGAACTCTCGGTCCCCTGCCTGGACACCCTCTAATTTGCTTGCACTTTTATAGTAGCCACCAATTTGCGGAAGCCACTTTGACCAACAGTGAACTTATGGCAGAGCATCTGAGCTTCAAAACATTTCCTACAAGCACCAGATGCCTATATGTGAAAAACACCATGTCCACTGTAATATATTTAAAAGCACAGATCAGTCTGAGGTGAAGTGAAAGAGACCTTCTTGGGAAACATGTGGGGATTCAGCAGAAACTCAGCGGGAGCACAGATTTCTCCAGAACTACACGGCAAAGAACAAATGCAACCACATATAGGTCACAGACATGTGCACCTTTCTGTTTTTTAGCCTGTAAAGCTAAAATTGTCTTCAGTCACACGCTCCACTTCCTGTCTGCCTTATTTTAGTCACAGTCATCTGCACATGTGTGTAACTATACGGACATTTCCACCTTGAATTCCTTCTTCCATTGTTTGCTTTGGCTGCAGCTTCAAACGGGAACTGAGGAGCTAAAACTAGAACAAAGAAACCTAAATATATTACACACACTGTTGTTGCACATAAACCACATTCCTCCGAGTTGTTTTTGACCAGATTAGGTAGGAAATTCCTGTGTAAGGGA